TAAAATGCTGATTCTGATTTCATAGGTCTAGGGTGGGGCCTGGGATCCTGTATTTCTAACATGCCTTCACATGATGTCTAGGCTGCTAGTCTGATACGACACTTTTATTATCAAAGCTTGGGAGCCTAAGTTTTTTCCAGGCACTTTCCGTATGATGAACAGCCCCCTCTACTGTTTGGTTCTGAATTCCCTGAGTTACAATTTGATTTTTTGACCAAATAATGAAGTTGCATTGGTCCGTTAATGTAGAATACCCAGTAGTTTAGAGATCCTTTATAATTTTAAAGCCCCAGAGCTCTTTGGAAATTTGATGAACGCTATGGGCCTCCACAGCTATCCCCTCCTGCCCAGACAAAGGATACTCATATTTTACAGGCATCTTCAAAGAATTTAGGGACATACCTGAAGCTTATCCATTGTCTCCATCTAATGACCCCCGCCATAGTCTTAATTTATGGAAGCTCAGAATTAATTCCTTTCCTATTAGTAACATCTTAAAATTTAGATTGTAGCTGTATGTTTTATTATATATATATATATATATACACACACACACACATATATATATACACACATATATATATACACATATATATACATACATATATATACACATACATATATATATGCTGCTAACCAAAAACTGGCAGTTCGAATCCACCAGCTGCTCCTTGGAAGCTGTATGGGGCAGTTCTGCTCTGTCCTATAGGGTCACTATGAGTCGGAATCAACTCGACAGTAATGGGTTTATATATATATATATATATAATACACGTATCTATATAATACATATATATTAATATATATATTAAAGGCTTTCAATTTTATTTTATGCGTTGATTAGCTATTGCTGACCTGATAATTGAATGTTATAACCTAAACTTATAATTGAAGAAAATAACCTAACTGTTGGCAGGGGTGAACACGAATTGTTACAATGTTCTGTTATAAAAGTTTTTAGTTTCCTTTTAGCTGTTAACTTTTTAAAACCATTTTATTGACTATAATTCATGTACCACACAATTCACATTTTAAAGTGTTCATTTAAATATTTTTGTTAATTTTCACATGGTTGTGTAACCACCACCACAATCACTTTTAAAATATTTTCATCACACATTAAAGAGACATACCCTCTTGTAGTCATTCCCCATTTTCCTCCAACTCCTTCCATTTCCCACCCGAGCCCTAGGCAACCACTAATCTTTCTGTCTCTATAGATTTGCCTGTTCTGGGTATTTCACAGAAATGGAATCATACACTTGTCCTCTTGTATCTGGATTATTTCACTTAGCTTGCTGTTCTCAATGTTCATTCATATTTACTACGTATCATACCTCATTCCTTTTTATTGCTGAATAATATTCCTTTGTGTGGATATACCACATTTCATTTATCCATTTATCAGTAATGGACATTTGGGTTGTTTCCACTTTTTTTTTTTGTCTATTACAAATAATACTGCTATGAACATTCATATAAAAGGTTGTGTGAGGTCATGTTTTCATTTCTCTTGGGCACACACCTATGAGTGGAATTACTGTAGCATATGGGTAACCCTGATCCCTGGGTGGCACAAACATTAAGCACTGGACTACTAGTCAAAGGGTTGGTGGTTCAAATCCATCCAGAGGCAACTTGGAAGACAGGCCTGACAATCTGCTTCTGAAAGGTCACAGCCTTGAAAACCCCTTGGAGCAGCTCTACTCTGCACATATGGGGGTCACCATGGGTTGGAATTGGCTGGATGGCAACTAGCAACCACAACAACATGGTAACTCTATGTTTGACCGTTAGAAGAATTGCCAGAGTATTTTCCAAAGTGGCTGCGCTATTTTACATTTCTACCAGCAATATATGAGGGCTCTAGTTTTTGCATATCCTGTGTGTGTGAAGTGGTACCAGGGCATTTCCCAAATGCAAATGGCTAATGCTGTTGAGCTCGTCTTTTCATGTGTGCATTATCCATTTGTATAACTTCTTTGGAACAGTATCTATTTAGATCCCTTGCTCATTTTTTAATTGAGTGATTTGTATTTTCACTCTTTAGTTGTAAGAGTTATTTATATACCTTAGGTATAAATCTCTTTCAGATACGTGACTTGTAAGTATTTCCTCAGATTCTGAGGTTTGTCATCTTGCTTTCTTGATAATGACCTTTGAAACACAAATGGTTTTAATTTTTGTAAAGTGCAGTATATCTGTTTTTTTCTTTTGTTGGTTGTGATTTTGGTGTCATATCTAAGAAAGCTAACTCAAGGTCATAAAGATTTATGCTTATAATTTTTTTCTAAGAGTTTTATACTTTCAGCTCTCACGTTTAGGTTGGATGTTTTCTTTTGAAGTTTTATAACATTGGGAATAAAGGTTCTAGAAGAATATTCTGATGTGACCACACTTGGATCAATATTTTACTTAATAATCTAGTTTGCATATATTGTAGTGATAAAAATCTTAATAGTTGATAGAGTCCATTTCTCAATTGTTATTTGGATAGACTGAATTCTAAAACTTATTGCTAAATAGTTTAGATATTTTACCTTTTTTTTTTTCTTAAAGTCTACTATTTTAGACTTTATTTAATAGGTATTAATCGATTACATATCATATTCAGGCTCTGTCTAGGCTCAGTGCCAAGTTAGGTAGGGAACTAATTGATATAATAAATAGCACCCAAGTGACCTGGACGATTGACTTGCTTACTTCTAATAATAGAACAACTTTGGCAGTAGGGAGAATATAGATCACTGCATATGGGGAATTAGAGAATGACAAAGAGAGTATCTAAACAAGCCGACTGTAGCCTGCCGCATACGTGTTACATGAAAAGTGACATATAACCCTTGGTGTCTTTTAGAATTAGATTCTATGGTGATATGTCCAGATGTTTACATTTGGGAGTATATTACAGATTTGCAGGCTGTGATTAACTCTTTGTATTTAAATTGAGATCTCTTTTGATTATTACTTTTTAAAAGAATTGTTACATTCTATATTCTGTGAATTCGTTATTTGCTTTAGGGATCCATGCTAACAATATATAATTTCCTCTATTATGGTGTTGCAGTTTGTGATTACCCATCCATTTTTAATTAATTTGGGATCCTTTTAGGTTTTCTTTTCTTGTTCTTTTTTAGTTTGGACTTTCTGTATACTGTAAATTCTCTTTTGCTTCAGGTATCTAATACTTATAATGTATAAGGTTTCTTTTTTTTTAATATGATGAATTAACAAATGGTAATCAGCGACCTTTAAAATGTGATTCTCTTCAGAACAGAAAAGATTTATTCACTACCAGATTAAATTCCATTTATTAAATTAAAATATGCATTTGAAATTAATAGTGAAAGTAAAATTGAATAACATTATGGGTAAATATTACTTTTGTTTATTGAGCAAAAAATGTGCTAATATTAGGTGATTGGTTTGCCAATTAAAAGAGCAAACTTTTCAAAAGCTCTTACCTCGATCATCGTTATGTCCCCAGACATGGTTATCCCTCTCTGCATCTGACTTATATTTGCAGATAGTAGTTTCCACAAATAATGGCCATTGAGCCTTATCAATTATAAATATTCAAAGCAAAACATTATGCAGTATTTCCATCTTCAAATACGAATGGGTCTTTTTCTTTCTATTTCTTAAACACCTCCATGGAACCATTTTCATTGCAGTCACAAGGAAGTCATTGGTATCGATCATGCTTCCTTATTATATGGTGGTATGCCAGATTCTGTCAAGTATTTATTTTATTATATGCCTTAGGTCTTCCTTTCTCTTTCTACCTACAGCATCATTTCCCAAAGTCAGATTATTTTTACTGCTCTTAGACTCAAGTAACCCACAACTGCCATTTCATCCCCATTATTATCAATCTTTTTCATTGCAGCGCATAAGCATTTTCTAAAACACACTTACCTCACTGGCCCCTCAAAAACTCTTAACCAAACAGGTAACATTCTTACTCCTTAGCATGCTATTCGAAGTCTTCTGCTCTGGCTCCAAGATTACCTTGTATCCTCACTTGCCACATCAGCATCCTCCCTCATTAGAAAATGTATTGCGTACCTGCTCTCATCTCTCTGTGCATTTGCTCATGGCATTCCTTCCATCTGAATGCTTTTCTTCTTCAGTTAACATATTTTTATTCTTTACAGCTCAATTTAAATGCCTTCTTTTCAGGGAGAGCCTTCTTATTATCCTCTACCTAGAGTTAAGCCGAAAGCCTGGTGGCGTAGTGGTTAAGTCCTACAGCTGTTAACCAAAAGGTTGATAGATCTCATCCACCAGGGGCTCCTTGGAAACTCCATGGGGCAGTTCTACTCTGCCCTATAGGGTCGCTATGAGTCGGAATCGACTCGATGGCAACAGTTTTGGTTTACAGTTTACCTGATTTTTTTTTTCTTTTTCTATAGTGCATTTCTTGGATCTCTTTGCAACACTTACTTTAACAGTGATTTATACTCGAGTTCCTTAGTCAGTCTCACCTGGGTTCAAATCCTGGCTCTACTGCTTACTTCATCTACATTCTTGGACAATTGATGTCATTTCCTAAGCTGTTTCTTCAGTTTAAAATTGATATAGTATTTGTACATAGTTTACAGGTTACTTTTGATGTTAAAAGTCTGATGTAACAGTGCTTGCACAGTAAATGGTAGCTTTGTGTGTATTCCTGTTACTTGTCTACTTGTCTCATTCCCCAAGTAGATAGTAAGCACTTTGAGGACAAGCAGTTAGTTTTATTCCTCTTTGTAGCCATGCCAACCATGTCAGTCCCCAGTGAAAATCTCAAATGCTGTTTTTTACTTTTACTTGTTGTGATTCCTGGGCCATGTTTAACCTAACTCATCAGAGTGAACATATTAATTTATTGCTATATTGTGTATATATTCCCCAAAGGAGTTAGGATGACTTATAAGATGCATAAAAAACAAGAGTGAAGCATAAATAAAATATAAGTAAGTGCATTTTGAATAATTGAAGAATTTAATTTCACCGTCATGAACCTAAGTGAAACAAAAACTATTGATAAGGAAGTGCTAAAGCTTGTCTTCATTCTCTCATGTGTTGTAGGATCTCGTCTTCGCCAGGAAGACTTTCCCCCACGAATTGTGGAGCACCCTTCAGATGTCATAGTCTCTAAGGGAGAGCCCACCACTTTGAACTGCAAGGCAGAGGGCCGGCCAACGCCCACCATTGAGTGGTACAAGGATGGTGAGCGGGTGGAGACTGATAAGGATGATCCCCGGTCCCACAGGATGCTTCTGCCCAGCGGATCCTTATTCTTCTTGCGCATTGTGCACGGGCGCAGAAGTAAACCTGATGAAGGAAGCTACGTTTGTGTTGCAAGGAACTATCTTGGTGAAGCAGTGAGTCGAAATGCATCTCTGGAAGTGGCATGTAAGTGAATATAGTGAACCTTATAAATGGCACACACATTTACTTTTATTAATTTTTTTTTTAGTAAGCACTGATTTTGTTCCTACAGCTGCTTGATACTTATAGAACAGAATAATCAACACATTCTGCATAATTTTATTTTCCCTTCTCCAAACACATCAAGTCAAAATAATGTCAAGCCAGGGCTGTTGCAATAAGTTTATTTATATTAAATCAATGTGTAGGTGATAAAGCTGCTGGTCATATTTAAAACTGGAATTGTTAACAGGAAATATAGTATTAAAGTTAGTTATGTTAAAAAGAAAAGTTTGTAGGTAACAGTATCAAAGATGAGGCATAAATCCAGTATTTTATTTATTAACATATAAATAGTTATATATATTCGTAAACCAAGGCATTAATGCTTTACGTCAATTTGGATATTGGTTCAGTAACTTCTTGGATCACTTTGCAAAACAAATTCAGACATACAGTAGATTTTTTTCTGGTTCGTAGGCGAAGATTTAAGGTTGTATTTTATATAGTTCTGTAAATTTTTGATGTTAAGCTATTTTGAGGATAGATTTTATCTAAAGTGGATTATCGATAAGATGTCGAAAACTGTGCCTAATAGAAGTTTGTAGCCCTCTACCTTCTAGTTGCATAAGTAGGTCTTCATAGATTAAGGGTACTGAGGAATTTGCAGAATGCAGGGTCCTTATTTATATAGCTGAAGGGTGGTGTTGCTAAATAATAGCTCATGTTCTCATGTCTTTATTTAGAGTTTATCCTTGTAATCTCATGCTACATGGTATCACAGTAGATACAAATAGTTGCAAAACTTGTGGATATGTGCATCTAAGATTCTCTAAAATATATCATTGTCTTTACACGTGAAAGCATCTTTTAGTAAACAAAATCCTACTATTTCTTATTTGGATATACCAATGAAAGCTTTTGCTTTCCAACCTCCAGTCTTCTGACTTATAGTTTTTACCAGGAACCTGGAAGCCAATGATACTTGAAATGTATCAATCAATAGAAGATGAGAAGAATGTTAAGACCCAAATTTGTTATGTGAAGTACTTTGAAAATGAGTATTACAATTTTAGCTAACAGTGCTTTTCTATACCCAATACCAGGTAATTTCATTTATATAAAATGATACTTCAAAAGTAGTTAAATTTAATAGTTTAATGAGCTCTGAAATATACACAGAAACCCTGAAGAATATAAGTATTCCTAAATGTTCCATTTTTATTTTGAAGTGTTCCAATTATCATGGGCTTCATTTTCTTTATCTATAAAATGGGATAATAAGGCCTGTCATGTTTAACATTAGGGGATCTGGTGGGAAAAAATTATCATTAGAATTTGGCATTGAAATAGTTCACTCTGTTTTAAAAGTTCCAGAAATAAGATGGTTTAGTGACCTAAATTTAGACAAGTTAATGGGGAATTCAAGATCAGATCCTGAATCTTCTGATTCTTAGTTCTAAGGAATTGTGACTTATTTTGAAAAGCATTCTAAGTGAAATTGGACTTGCTTTACATAAATTAAAATTAATACTTTTAGAATTTATTGTTTTATCTCCTCAATACCAAATATCTATTTTTTAAATCTTTAACTAAATTTACTTCTAAAGATTTTTTTTTTTCTGAATTGGCCAGTCACTTTACTGTTGTGCAGTTATAAACTTTTTTTCTCTCTGAATATTTGCTTTGTTACACTTGCTCTCAACACACATGCATCTTGTGCTTTTCTTTACTCTAAAAGGATTGCTCTCTTCCCTAATTGCATCATTAGTAATGAATCAAACTGTTTTAGGAGGAATATTTTAAATTGTCCTTTTTTTTTCATGCAATATGACAGTAGCATTTTTTTTCCTATAAATAAATGAGCTTTGAGAAATACTTGAATTACTTTTGACCTAGAGAGGAAAACAAGATGATTTCAAAATTGGATTTAGCTAGTGAATAAAATTCTTTCTTCTAATGCCATGTCACCAGTTCATGCCATTTGAGGAAATGTGAGATCAAATAATGTTCATTTATATTCTGCTCAACTCTTTCACATTTTCTCATAGTCTTTTTGCTTTGTGCATCACAAGACGTAATACAATGGAAATTTGAGGTCAAAACATTGTGATTTTTCAATACCTATTGGTCACCAGGGTGTATGGGTGTAAAATGATAGAGGAATAGCTGCAGATTATATAAATGTTTGGCCTTCAAATGTTAGGACACTCAACATAAAGGCTCAATCATTTCATCCATTAAAGGAAAGTGGACCCCTACTGAAAGACGACTTGTTGTACAGTAAGGAATAAGACACACTCCAGTCTATTCTCAAAGAGCTCACTATCTAGTTGGGATGATCAACCAAAAAAACAAACCTGTTGCCATTGAGTCGATTCCAACTCATAGTGACACTTAGGACAGAGTAGAACTGCCCTATAGAGTTTCCAAGCAGCTCCTGGTGGATTCGAAGTGCCGACCTTTTTGGTTAGCAGCTGTAGCACTTAACCACTATACTAGCAGGGTTTCCTAGTGAACATGTAAATAGGTAATTAATAATAAAAATGTAAATATATAATTAAATAATAAAGGGTATATGATAGAGGCATATAAAATATACTATGGTAACCCAAAGGGGAGAGTATTTCATTTTTTTCCAAGCAGATGGTTTTAAAAGGGTTCTAGGAGGATATATCATTTGATCTCTACTTGAAAGACAGGTAAGAATGCATCAGGTGGAAACTGAAGTGAAAGGTCATCCAGGTAGAGAGAATGGAAACCGAAATGAACACTGTATTTGGGGACGTGCAGGTAGCTTGATGCGGCATTGCCCCAGGGTAATGAAGGTAGGAAGAATAAATCAGAGAATTAGGCATGTGCCAAATCATAATATCTAGATTGTTGTTGTTGTTAGATAAAGGAAATTCTTTGAAAGAAAATTGAAGATTGAGTTAAAGGGATGACAACTGAAGTGAGAGAAGAGTTAAAGCTATCAAATACTTCAGAAATGAGATAGTGGTAGATTTTAAACTATAGACGTCGCTGTGAAGATTGAAAGGAGAAATGCTTTGAAACGTATTTGGGAATTATAACTCACATCACGTTATGGTCAATTTGATATGGAGAATGAGGAAGAGGGTGGTGGGGAATTAGGGAGATTCCCAGATTCATTTTTAGCTGAGTGACTGGAATGTAGTGCTGCCATCCATAGGGATGGGAAATACCAGAGAAGTCACCGTAGCGGGAACAGGGGAACGTGTCAACTTTGACTGTATTGTTGACACACCACTGAGATATTTGGGTAAAAATATCTGACTTTCACTTAAAAAAAAAGAGCTTCTGGAACTGAGAAGAGAGGACTTTCCCAGATAGAGGTTGAAACCACGAGAATAGATAGAAATTGATGTGATTGTCCAACCAGGCTCTGTGCAAGGAACGGTTAATAAGGGCTGAAGGCCATTCCCCCTCTTAGAACACTAATATTTAAGAGTGGGCAAGGGAAAGAAGTACCAGTGCAGGAGACTCAGAAGAGGTATCAGAGTGCTAGAGTAGTGCTAGTGATGAGAAAGATAAGGTAATAGTTTTAAGAGAAGAAAAAAGAGTAGGCAGTACAAATGCCACATAGTGGTCAAATAAGAAGTGTCTGTGGTCTCTCATGAGGAGAAAAGATCACAGCAGCTGAAGAATGAGTATGTGGTGGAATGGAAAATGACGACTATTCTTTCAGGAATTCAGCTCTGAATGGGAAATGAGGGAATAGAGTTGGATTTCTTAACTTCTGCGCTATAGCCGTTTGGGGCTGAATGATTACTTACTGTGGGGGCTGTGCTGTGCGTTTTAGGATGTTCAGCAGTATCCCTGGTCTCTGCCCACTAGATGCCAGTAGGAAATCCCCATAGTCCCCAGATGGACAACCAAAAATGTCTCTGGATTTTGCCAAATGTTCTTTGGGGCTAAAATCAGTTGAAAACCAATAATGTAGGTTTACCTAGGTGGTTAAGGGTGTATAGATAAGTAGCAAGCAAATTTGTCACAAATTTGATTGTGAAATTAGTTTTGATTGAAATTATGGAAAAATGTGCATCTCTTTGCTTCACCTTGGTTTCATTTTTAATTTCAAAATTCTTAGTTTCTAGTATGCAATGTTCAGTTTTTAAATAACAATCTCTTAACTGGCTCTATGGAAGTCAGCCTGCTCTTTAATGTACATATTTGAGTTTTTTTGTTGTAATAAATATTTCAGCTTTATGTAACTGAACAACATGGTGGAAGGAAAAAAAATATTCAGGACCAGTCATTGTAATAGAGAGTTGAATCACCTCATATTTGTCTTACCTTTTTTTTTTTCTTGGTTTGGAAAAAATAGTAATCCAGAGTGTGTTTTTGAAATCACTAGATCTCAGAAAAGGCCTTTAGAGAACTGCAGGGCCACTAGCAGAGCTTCGCACTGAAGAAGTTAATGTGCAGTTTTCCAAGGGGACAACCAGGAGAACAGAGGCGGTCGCTGGTGTGGAGAGGGTTTCAGTGTGTCAGGAGCAGAAGGAGCACCCGGGGTCCTCACCCAGATTGCGGCTGCTTGGGATGCTGCCTACGTCAGCGGCAACCCCTAGAGATAGCAGCTGTAGCCCCAGGTGGTAAATATATGACAGCAGCTTGATCTATTGACCAGGGTAAGAGGGGGCTCTGGCCTAAATGAAAATTCATGAAAAATTGATGAAGTCCCCAGATTATTTTTTCCGTTTCCTTTTCTCAGCACTATGCCAGTGCAGAGAGGGGAGATTAAATGAGGTGTTGAATGCTTTAGTGGCAAGGAGGTTGTAGTTCAAAGGTCAGGGGTCATGTAGAAACCGATCTTTTTTTTTTTTGCCTTTCTTACTCTCAAGCAAAACACAAGAACTTTTAAGATTAGCAGGGATTTACCTTTCCTTTGATTAAAATAAAATAAAATAAAATGGCTAAATGTTCAAAAGTTGGCTTTTGATGCAACTACAAAAGAAAGAACA